GAGAGGGTCAGGAATTTAAAATTCAAATCTGGCCACAACACCTGCTTCACTGCCTGCTGAAGCAACCTGGAATTCCCCCACTCCACATTCACAACCATCAGCATTTGGGAGCAGGGACCACTCTGCCCCTGGACAACACTCAGCAGTGATATCCGAGGCTGTGAAGATGAGCTGGGAGCAGCCACCAAAACAAGCTGAGTGCAGGATGCAGGCAGCAAGATCTCCCATCCAGGTAGGAATGGGCACCATGACACCATGACAAGAAGTAGGATGTGGGTCCCTACTCGATGATGCGTTCCCGGGGGTGAAATGGAGATAGAGAGTCCAGGCCCAGCCGATTCACCACCTGAAAGGAGCAGCACTGCTGCATCAGCCTTGTCACCTAAGTCCTGTTGCATCTGCATTCCCCACTGCTAATTAACCATGGGTGAGTCAGTAGTAGAACTGGGTCTCCACCCAGGTAGAGGACAGCTGTCACCACCAGGCCATCCCATCCTAGACTGGGGGCGGTGTGCGGTCACCTCCAAATGACTAGGAATGTTCCGATAAATCATTAGCTTACTCTTATCTAGCACATTCCCCACAGGCTGGAAAAGTCCCTCCCTCGTGCAGTTGAACAGCAGGGCCTCTCTCCTCCTTTCCAGTTTACTCCCTGAGACAGCCTCCCATAATGCCACACACTGTCCTTGAGCTCTGGGGACCTCCTTCCCCTCCTGGCCTCCATGCAGGCATGGCAAGCAGCTGCTACCCACACTCAGTCCTCATGGGCTGTGGGTCCTGCTCCCTGTGCATCTTGGCATTCACAGCACAATAAAGCAACTTGTTCCACTTGCTGTCCCCCACAAATCCACCCTGGAGACAAGTGTCATTCCTGGGGCCTGAGGAGTCCCAAATCTCTGTTCAGTGCCACTTTGGGAGGCTGGTGGGGGGGTGGAATGTGTCTCCGTAATGATCCCACCCTCAGCAGGGTAGTTAGCAAAAAAACACATTACCAGCCTGATCTTCTGTTCCTCCTCCAGGATGAAGAGTTTTTCCTTCTTGATGTAAAACTCAGCTGTGTCCAAAATAGCCTTCTTGGGAACGAGCCCCACCAGCTGAGACCCCACCACAGGGAGATTCAATTCCTGCAAAGGACATCAGAGATGTGATTTTCCCAAGAGCCCCGCTGCCACTACTGCCCCAGCCTGGTGGTCCTCATCCCTTCCCAGCACATGGGAAGCTCATAGAAAAGCTTTCAACAGAGAAGCTTGCAGCAAGTTGCTGAGTTTCTGGGGGTTTTGTGCCATTCAGCACTTTGTCTGAGCTAAGCATGAAAGAAACCAGACCTGACCTGAGGGTGGGGAAGAAAACTTGGTGGGAAATATTCTCTGGGAAGCCCCCTTGGGAACAAGCACCCCAGGCCACCCACCTGCGCATCGCGGCAGATCTCCTCATAGACGGTGTGGAGTGGCGTGATCTCAAAGTCCAGCAGGTTCGTCGAAACCTGGGCCATGTTCTCCTCCTCCAAATACCAGCCAATGCCCTGCACCTTCTTCAAGCGCCCGGGCTGCCAACAACTGCCACATTCAGGGCACAGCCCAGGAGGTGTGGGGACAGGCAGGCATGCTCCTGGCATGCCTGTGTTCCAAGGGTACCTGATCAGGGCCACGGCCCTGCTCACGGATGTTGAGGGCGATGCGGTGAGCCAGCTCCTTGGTGCACAGCAGGTTGACGTTGTATGCAATAAGGAAGGTCCGAGCACCCGTCACTGTGGCCCCCCACCGGGGGACAAAAGTTGGGGCCCCAAAATCAGGAGCCCACTCTGGTTTTGTAAGCTGGGGAGGAGGGAGAGTTTGTGGGCTGGCAGCACCCAGGAGCACATGCCACCCTCCCAAGGAGGGCATCTCCCTCCCCAGCTGGAATCTGCCATGACCACCTGTGTCACCGGCTCCTCTTGGTGCAAAGGGATTGCACCAGCCCCTGGCATGCTCCCTGAAGCCAGGGAAGTACAGGTCAGGTCTACCCACCCTGTGCCACCACCAGGCTCACCTTCTCGGGGAGCGCCTCATACTCCCCAGCACGGATGGAGGGCAGGGCTTTCCGGCTCTCATCCCGTGCTGCCGCTCCATACAGGTAAACTGCAAGACACAGCTGGGGGTGAGCACTGCCAGGCAGGGTGCAGCACTTTCTCCAGCAGTTGGAATCATGCAGGGTGGGATGGAATGTGGAGAGGTTCCTGACCGCACTCACCAGGCACACCCAGCTCTGCTGCCAAGCGCTGCCCGAAGATGTGGGCACAGGTGACACACTCCTCCATGGTGACATTCCTCACTGGTACAAAGGGACAGACATCCAAGGCCCCCATCCGAGGGTGCTCACCTGGTGGTGGGGCAGATATAGGAATGGGAGGTGGGAAGAGCAAGCAGACAAGAAGGGAGAACAACCCTTTCCCACCCTCTCACAGACTGGACATGTTGCTGTGAGAAAATCATAGAATCACAGAATAACCCAAGTTGGAAGGGACCTACTAGGATGATGGATTCCAACCCCTGGCCCTGCACAGGGCAGCCCCAGTAATCCCACCACAGGCCTGAGGACATTGCAAACAATTCTTAAACTCTGTCAGGCCTAGGGCTATGACCACAGTCCCTGTCCAATGCCAGCAGCATGACATCCCCCTTTGTGCCAGCCCAGCCCCCTGAGCCAAGCTCACCTGAGTGTCGGGTCATGTCAATGAGCTGCCCAGCCACACGGGCCGCGCTCAGTGCCCCTTCCACCACAGCCTCAGGGGATCCCACAAAGGTGTAGACAGTGCGGTTGGTGGAGGCACCAGCATCCACATCCAGCAGCACACATCCCGGTGTGTGGGAGATGGCCTGTGCCACTGCATCGATCACCTGCCGGACAGTGGATGGGAGCAAGGGGGCTGAGATGGCTGGGACTGCACAACAGCCATGACTTTTCAAGACAGGGAACATCTCAGCTTTCCCCTTTGATGGGGTTGAGGATGACCCCATAATGAGTGGGGATGCAGGCCTGCACAAGCATCCCACTCCCACCCAGGGGGTTTGGGGCAACCCTGGCCATGGTGAGGGAGAGACAACTGGCTGCTGCTGCATGTCACAGAGTGCCACCGCAAATTGCTCTTTCTGAGGATACATCTACCTCCCGGCTTCCAAACACGTTTGGTTCTGCCAAGCATCTTCCCTGAAAGAGGCTGTGTTTTTACAGCCATGCTGGGTTTGCTAAACTCTCTTGCCACTGGCAGAGCCAAAGTTCATTTGAAGGCTTTTGCCCAGGACAGACTCCATTAACCTGGACAGCATCTTTTGGCACAGCAACTGCAAGCAATACCTCTGCAGAGATATCCCAGACCAACCCCAGGCCTACAGCAACCTGCAGGCAATGGTGCAGGAGGTCTGAGCCCCCACTACTCATTGAGGTGCCATAAGGGAGCCAAGGCTACCTTTAGGCATTTTTGGCATTAGCCAGGTAGTGGCTGCAAAGGAGGCATGGCAGAGTCTAGAGGCAGGCACCGTCCTGCAGGGGGAAACCTGGCTGTCAGCCCCTAGGTGTCACCCACCCCTCCCTCAGCCCTTCCTCACCTCTTTGTTATTCCCCTCTGAGAAGTTGGGGACACATTCCACCAGCTTGGCCATTGGTCCCAGGGTCTGCTGCACCCCTCAGCCCCCAGATCAGCTCTTCACACCGTGGGGGTTTCCTGCTCTTTCCTGTCCCACTGCGGAGCAAAAACCTCTCAGCAGCTGACCCGTCGCCTCTTTCCCAAGCCGGAGTTTCTCATTAACTCAATCGATCTGTGGCCAGGGGACAGTAAGGGACTTGGATAAACATCATGGTACTGGCCCTGCTGTGCTTGGAACAGCTCAGGGCACAAGGGCTCTGTGGGGTCAGATGGCAGCACTCACCAGCACCAATAAACAGATGAAGGAAAATAGCTGCTGTAATCAGCAAGGTGCTGTGGTTACCACACGGGACGACCAAGTCGCTCCAGCATGACCACTATTGCAAGTGTTGCAGAACCTCCACCATGGATACCGGGTAAAATCCATGGCTGAGAGCAGGATTCGAACCTGCGCAGGGAACCCCTATCGGATTCCGAGTCCAACGCTTTCACCCCTCGGCCATCACAGCCCCGTGCCCCACGGAGGGGGGGNGTTTTGGTGAGGAGAGGAAGTGTCCGGGATGTCCCTGCTCACAGAGGGATTGCAGGAGGTAATGGTTCATTCTGGCTCGTTGGTCTAGGGGTATGATTCTCGCTTAGGGTGCGAGAGGTCCCGGGTTCAAATCCCGGACGAGCCCTTATCTTTTGCTACACTGCAAACATGCCCTCACATTCCCGCTTGTCACCTCTGCCCGTTACAACCCCTCAACAGCCCCCTCACACCTCAACGACCCCCCGTGCCTCCAAACCTCGCAACCCCCTTTCCTCTCCTTTGGCGCCAGAGCAAGGCAGCAGACACAGACATTGTCCTGGACAAAGGAGAACGCTACGGGCTGTTGTG